TAAAAAAAATATCAAGATATTTTCTAAATATCGATCTTGATAGTCAGTTTTGATAAGGCATTTAATGTTCAAAATTGAAAACTACCAACACAGAACTTACATTCCTTTATTATGTTCATATGTATATACAATCATGATTTACTATTTATTGTTCAAAAATTGTGAGAAAATATGTTTATATCACCTTTAAACAATCATTTTAGTGCTATTTGAACAAAAAATTGTAATCTCATATGAAATCTTAATCTCATATAAAATCTTTCCTGTAGATTTATTTGAAATGTTGCCATATGTACCACTGCCATGTCATAAATTGTTCTCCTCCCATAATAGTGTAATTTTAAACAATACCTACCAGATATTACGCATGTCCGTTTTAATTTACCTTAGAAAATTACATAAATTTATTAACATATATTTTTTTTTAATTTGAGTTAAGTAGATATCATTCACATGATTTTTATACCATTTACAAAGCTCGCGATTAAGAAAAGTTTGACAGTTGTGCATTTACAGAAAGAATGAATATTGAAAGAAAGTCTGTTTATTTGTTGCAGTTTGAACAAACTCTTCTCTAAGTATTGTTAACTTTATATTTTTTTTGGTATTAAAGTATTGCTTTTGTTTTCGATGTGCTGTTAAACTTGCATTTGACTATCAGTTATTGTAGAATTGCTAGTATTTTTTCAAACTTTTATGGAATACCGATTTCACTTGCCTACAAATTTTTACCCAAAGAAATCCATGTTTTCCTTTTCTTTGACGCATATGTCTTTTAATTTGAAAAGGGATTTGAACAAATGAAACCGAAGCCAGCAACTAAGTTGAAACAAGAGAAAGCAATATATTTTTCTATTTTTATTTAAGAGTGCAGAATGAGTATTTTTTTAAAAATATTCCTGCGTAATAAATCTCCTTTCTAGAATTTCCAAATTTATAAAAGACAATTTTTACTGATGTAAAATACGATAACCTAATCGCGCATAAGGAAATAGACAGCCCCAATGCATTTTGGGAAAACAAATTACTGACACTGTTATGTTTACTATTTTATCTGAACTTTCATCTTGCGACAGCATCCTGTTTATATTTTGTCCCCATTTATTTCCTTTTATGAAAAGTATTACAAATTATTTTTTTTTCTTGTGGTGCTAGTATGAGAGATGTTAAAATGCTGTTATTTATTCCTCGTGTATGTTTAGTAGTTGTACAATTAGATGTGAAGTATTTTTATAAATAAAATTCCCTTTGAGATATAAAATCGTGTGGTTTTATTTTTATTGTATCAATGATATTATGTTTTTGACAAAAGGGAGTTCAGAAGATTTATAAAAACTGGCAAAGTGTCATGTTTATAAATTGGATATTTAGATATTTATTAGCAGCAGGTGGATATCGATATATATATCGCAAAGAAATTCAGCTCGTGACAAAAATTATTTAAAAAGCAGCTAGATAAAGTATAGCAGAAATTGTTTGTTTTTTCTGCTTCTGAAAAGGACAATGGGTGCTCAATAAAAAAAAAGTCGTTCGTCTTAGATATTTGTACTGAAAAAAAAAATGATAGAGAGATAAGTTACTAAGTAACCTTTCTAGTTCGTGGAACAGATTTGAATAGTTTTATTGTACTGCATAAACAAAAAAATATTATTAAGTGCACTTTAAAAGTAAAGATAACGAACCACGATCGATCTCATAAAACTACAAACAATATAAATCAGGGACAGGGCATAAACACGGAAACCTGGAAGTTCCAAAGGTGGGATCAGGTGCTTTGAAGTAGTAAGCATTCCCTTTTGACCGTCACATCTGCCGTAAGACCTAAATAATGATCGGTTAGATGGAACATTCAGATGCCAAATGCAGTATAAATACAAAAACCTTCACTGGTTTGAAATTATCAGTTAGAATACGACCCAATGTTAGGATATCATTTTACTAACATGGTCATTACGACGAGTATAGCTTTTACGAAATACCGACTTTGAACAAGGTTATTGTTGTAACATCAACTTACTGTCAGTTGCCTGTCTCGGTTTAAAAATTGATCGAACTCGGAGCATGTTCTTAAACACCATTTGCAGGTGTTGGCAGGGTATTACCACATTAATATGGAAAACTGACAATGGCAAAAAAGGGAGTCATCTTTTTTGCCAGACAGCTCAGTTGTTTGTTGGCCCTTTTCATAAATAGTAAGTAAATCTTATGAATATGAAACAGACGTCACTCCTCCATGGCACCTGATCCCGCCTCTGATATTTTAGAGGTTCGCGTTCCTATTTTCCATTGTTTATTGGACTTTTAAGCTTGAAAAATGTTCGTCATTTCCATATATTTCACATAGCAGACTATGGTTTCTTTTATCAAGTTCACTTGGATATATCGAATAAATAAATGAAAACATATGAACTAAAGAATCTATTGTTAATTAATAATAAATTGTCGATATACCGGTATGTAATTGAAGGCCACATATTAAAAATGATCTTAAATATGCATAGACTACTAAGTATTTTTTTCTTTGTATGTTAATTTATTACTATGACACCAATATTTAATTCAAAACAAATCTCTATGATTGGTTCGTGGGAAGATATCCTTATAGAATAAAACAATGATAAATGACTGAATTTTTATTGTAATACCTCTTTTAAAAACAACTTTTGATTTTCAGAATGCTCTTTCGATAAAATATAGTATTCTTTCTCAATCTAATTAAAATTAGATATTAGATCCGCACGTATACTTGCTATACTAAGTGTAGCGAGTATGCGAGCGGATCTAATATCTTAATTATTCTTATTTTAATTAGATTGGGGTTTTAATTAATTCATTTCTTAGTCAAATATTTAGAATTAAATCCTGAGAAAATTTTACTTTAGATAGTGAAGCTCAATAAAAAAAAATAGCAAACTCGGAAATAAAACGAATATGGTGATCCCTGCTTTCGAATTTCCTCACAATTGAACTTTCATCCATCTAAGGTACATTTTGCAATCTAGAGCATGAACATCTGACTTTGACATTACTCATATTGTTCTTGCTTTTATTTAAATCAAACATTGGCACAAAATAAATAAAGCGGTTTTTTCCTTGCCTTTCGAAAATTTGAAACGTTGTCTACTCTAGGATTATAGTGTACAAATTAAAGCATTTTACTGTCTTCTAGTCAAAGCGAGATAATGCTCACTTAAGTTTGCAATCTGATTATTAATATACTATAGTACCACACTTTCTTAAGAAAGTTCAGGTATTCGTTGTTATCCTGGCCCGTGCATTTGTCTGCCACACTTTCTTTTTCCTCGAAATCCTCTTACATTTAAAGCACTAACCAATATGTTTTCAGAATACATGTAGGATTGCTGGTGCCTTGAAGCGGTTCCCAGAACTTAGGATCCTCTTACATTTTATTTGCAGTCGCCCATTCTACTCATTTGGAATTTAACTGGGAGTGTCATATAATATGCATTTGGATTTGAAATTTGATTTATACCCTCAGTACGAATAGGGGTTAATGAAAACCCTTTTTCTAGAAAAACCTGGTTCTATGAATTCCTTTGTACGTATTCTGAAGTACCTTATCCATCTTTTTGATTATGATTGGAATTGACCTGTATATGTGCAGTAAAGTTTTGGAATTATAGCTTTCACCCTAATGGCGATTTGAGGGGGTGATTTTTTTTTTACAATAAAATCTGTTTCCAGATCTTCTCTTACAATTTTCGCAGTGTCACTTATATTTTTGGATTTAAATTGGGAATGTCCTGAAGATGTGCATTTTGGTTTTTGAATTTTGATTTTTTTACCCAGAAGGTAAAGGTTTTCTATGAAAACTACATGTATTTTAATGAACTCTTTACATTTTTTTTTTACAATAACCAACACATCATGCAAAAAATAATTTCAAAAAGACGTTTTAAAAAACCTGATTCCTTGCACTTACATTTTATAATATAACAAACATATCTCTTATCTTATAACTGCTTGTCATGTAGATATGCAATATGTTTCGGAATTTCGGTTTTCATCTTGGGGGTAAATGGGGATTAAAATTACCTGCAAAAAATGGGTTTCCTGAACGCCTCTTGCATTTTTGAAGGAAAACATAAGCAATTTGGAATATGATTGAAAATGTCCTATAGATGTGTAATTAATTAAGCTCCATTTTAATGGAGATTAGGGACAGCTTTTTTTGAACAAGAATTGGTGTAACAAAGTTTTGGATCGTTATACCTTTGATATTCACCGGGGAAGGGGGATGAGGGGAGGTTGAAAAAGCTTAATTGCCTATTCATTAATTAACCTATTTACATCTTGGGATATAGTTGGGAGTGTCTTGTTGGTGTGCATGAATTTCTTTCCGAAAAGATTTCAAAAAGACGTTTATTCTGTTAAAAAAAGTTTTCTGCAGTTCTCTTACATTTTTTTACCAAATACATCTATTATCTTATTATTATAGTTGGGTCCTATAGATATGCCATAACGTTCGGGGAATTTCGGTTTTTACCTCGGGGGCGAATAGGGATAGAATCATCCGCAAAAATCTGGTTTCCTGAACGCCTTTTACATTTTTGAAGTAGCCCATGTACAATTTGGAAAATGATTGAAAATGTTCTATAGATGCGTAATAAGGATTAATCATTATGGCGATTGGGGGGCATAAAAGACATTATATTTCTACATAAACCCCATTGTTTGAACTTGTCTTCCTTTTTTAAGCAGTCCCTCATTTTTATATTATTCAAGAAAAAATACATTATCAAATATTATTTATTCTAGATGAAACATAGAGAGGTACTGTTAGCAGACACTCAATAACAGAAGTATGAAAGTCTGGTGACCAAATATTTTCCAGCATGTAGTGTAACCAAGTACAACATTAATAACCAGAAACAGAAGTTAACAACAGATGCACTTTTGTTGTTAATTGCTGGAGATCTACTTCCACTCATGACTGTCGACCGTGGACAGCCAAAACTTTATAGACTTTGTTGAGAAGCTTGATCCTAAATATCAGATCCCAAGTCGAAAATATTTGTCCAGTAAATTACTCCATGAAAAGTCAAGTGAAGTGAAAAACAATCTAAAAGTTCAGCTATCTAAGGCAAGAAATGTTTGTTTGACAGTAGATCTGTGGTCCAATAGGCAAATGAAGGCTTTCATGGGGATCAACGGACATTTTATTGTCAACTGGGTGATGAAGTCAGTGATGCTTTCCTGCAAACGATTTAAAGGGAAAAACACATCAGAAAACATCAGACATGAATATGAAGAAACACTTGCCCTGTTTGAAATTGCTGATAAGATCTGCACAGTTGTTAGCGACAATGCATCAAACATGGCGAAAGCATTCAAATTTTCAATTATTCATGCAAGTGAAAACTGGAAGCTGAAAAACGACTGCACGCCGAAAATGTCACAAGATGGAACTCACAACTAAGAATGATTAAATCAGTCCTCAGTGTCCCTGAGAACCAACTTGACACCTCTGTGAAACTGTCTACTTTTGAAAGAAAACTCCTGCAAGAACTTTGTGCAATACTAGATCCTTTTGAATATGCTACTGTCTTAGTCCGGGGAAACTTAAGTGCTAGTCTAACTTAACCAGTCACATTGGGATTGAAACACCAGATCAATTATTTGTCAGCCGTTTACAGTAACAAGATGATGATTACTTTGAAGTAATCAATAAGCACAAGACTGAATTAATAATAATAATAATAATAATAATAATAAAACTTTATTTAAAGAAGGTAACCTGGTTAGTGCATGTACTATTCTTCCCCAGGGCCCTCTATATATATGTACATATATCAAATACAAAATATAGACACTTCATTAAGATACAAATCATCATAATCACATACAATTAAGTACATGTTATATAGGTTTGAGAATTACAATCACTGAATTATGAATAGAGTGTTCAAATACAGACATATCTTAACAATAACAGTACAATATACGATATTGAACTCTTATTATGCTCAAATGATTGTACGACAGCTGATAATGTAATTTTCCACATTACGCTTGAATGTTCGTAGAGAATGAGAGAATCTAATGTGTTGGGGAAGTTTATTCCACAGATGTACACCTGAATACTGAAAAGAGGTCTTGAATAAGTTTGTACGAAATTTTGGTAATCTAAGATCATAATTAGTTTCGGATCGCAGGTTATAAGAAGTTGAAGACTGAAATTCAAATAAATTACGAAGATATTCGGGAGTCATTCCACTGAAAATTTTGTATAATAATATGTATTTGTATAGATCAACTAGTTCATAAACTGTTAACCACCCAAGTCTCTCAAACAGTGGTTTAGAAGAAGAATCAGGACTTGCATCAAGGATAATCCTTGCTGCCCTTTTCTGTAATTTAAATAGTCTGTCCATGTCCTGCTTGGGGGCATTACCCCAAACAGTCAAACAATAGTTAAAAGATGGTAAAATATAAGCGTTGTAATAAAGTTTCCTGGTATGAAGAGGGAGAAATTTCTTAAAAAACGAAGCGTAAATAACTTATAATTAACCGTTTTACAAACTGAGTCAATATGATTTGCATACTGTAACTTATCATCAATATGTACACCAAGAATTTTTCCAGTTTCAACAATTTCAATTGTTTTGTCTGAGGCATAAAGTTGTAAATTTGGATTATCTAATTTTGATTTTCTTTGCTGTGTTCCCATTAACATACATTTTGTTTTATCTACATTTAAGACCATTTGATTTTGAGCACACCATTTTTCAATCTCACAAAGATCTGCATTTAGCGTATTTTCTAAACATCGTGCATTATGATTATTTGAATACAGAGTAACATCATCAGCAAACATATCAATATTTGAATTATTTACATGTAATGGAAGGTCATTTATGTACAATAAAAATAAAAGAGGGCCCAGAATTGACCCTTGTGGCACTCCTGCTGTGACGGGTTGAATATTGGAAACACATGTTCCAAATTTAACACACTGGGTCCTGTCGTAAAGATATGACTTAAACCATTTTATAGCTGTTTGGTCAAATTTGTAATGATTTAATTTTTCTAGAAGAATATCGTGATTCACCAAATCAAAAGCTTTACTAAAATCTATAAATGTAATGCCGATTAGTTCACCACAATCCATTGCATTAAGCCAACTTTCTGTTACTTTTGTAAGTGAAGTTTGACAAGAATGGAGTTCCCTAAACGACTGGGATTGTGTTAATAGATCAAATTCATTAGTGAAGTTTTGTATTAGCTTAGCTACATGTTTTTCTATCAGTTTAGATATAGTTGGAAAAATAGAAATGGGACGATAATTATTTGGGTCAGCTGTGTCACCTTTCTTGAATATAGGTGTTACTTTGGCTTGTTTTAAATTTGTCGGGAAAATACCACTTACTATGCTAGCATTAATAAGATGAGTTATAGGTTTACATATATATTTGGATGCGACTTTTAGAAGACGCGGCCCAATAAAGTCAATGCCAGCTGATTTATTGATATTTAGAGAATTAAGCATGTTAAAAACTTCACTTTCCTCAATTTGATGAATACTAAAGATGGTTTCTTCATCAAGCTTAGACCTTACAAAATTACATAATATATTAGGATCATAATCATGTTTAGGCAATTTCATCAGAAGCTTATTAGAGATATCCGTAAAGTGGTTATTAAAAGTATTTGCAATATCCTGTAAATTATCAACAATTTCCCCATTAGAAAACACATGAGATGGTGTTATGTTCTTTGAATTACATGTTAATTGATTAAGATAGTTCCACATTTCTTTGGGATTTGAACTTTGTTCAATAGCTGTTTTATAGTAAGACGATTTTGATTTGTCTATAAGAACACTAACTTTGTTTCGATAAATTCTATAGTTCTCCATATCTCCTTCTTTATGGTAAGAGTTCCGTACATGTCTAGTATTGTTTATTTCTTGTGTCATCCATTTAGGGCGGATTTCGCTCTTTACGCGTTTTGTTTTAACCTTTGCATGCTGGTCAAGTATACTATTAAATAAATCATAGAATTCAGTTAGTATTTCATTAGGGTCATGCATCTGGAGGAGATTGTTAAAGTCTACATCTTTTAAGTCGTGAAGGAATTTATTTTCATCGAACTTTTTGAAGTCTCTGTACTCTATTTCTACGTGTTGTCCTTTTTGCTGCATGCATTTTGTTTTTCTAGTGGCACATATTGGGTAATGGTCAGAGATGGCTATAAAAGGTACATCTACTTCACACATGTTATCTGGTTTATTGGTGTAAAAGTGATCTATTAGAGTACTTGAAGTATTAGTTACTCTGGTTGCTGCTGTAATTAATTGTGAAAAATCAAATTCTTCTAAAGCATATGTCCAACTTTGTGGGGGTTCTTTGAATAAGTCTACATTAAAATCACCTGTTAAGATGATTTCAGCATTGTCACAGCAGGAGGCACAGTTAATCTCTCTAGCCAGGTCCTCTGCCCAGCAGGAGGGAGCAGATGGTGGACGATATGCTGAACAGTAATAAATTGGTTTAGAATTCTTTGTATTTAATTCTAGCCAAATTGTTTCAATATCACCAATTTCAAAATCAGAATTCATTTGAAACAGACAGTGACTTTAAAATAGCAGCTATGCTTGATCCAAGATTCAAGCTGAGATGGTGTGCTGAGAAGGAAGTCGACACTTTGACTGTTTTGTTGAAAAACACTGTCTAATCTCTTCAATTTGAAGATGGATTTGAAGATGATATAGAGGCGCAAACAACAAAGTCTCTTAAAGGGTAAAGTTAGGGTTTTTTTAGCTTTATGCCTGAGTGCAGTACCCCGAGCAAGAAATGGCATAAGTCAGGAGCCATCTTATCTGAGGTTGACTTATACTTGTCTGAACCCTGTGTTGATATCAAAGAGGATATCTTGAAATTTTGGAGCGAAAACCAAACCAGACTTCCTTTCCTGGCAAATGCAGCACAAAGATTCTTGTCAACTTGGCAACATCTGCTCCCTGTTGAAAGACTTTTCAGTATTATAGGCAAAGTTTTTAGGCCAGAACGGTGTAATCTTAATGACAATACTCCTGAAGCTCTAATGATGATAGAATGTAACTATAATGTGTAGAATACCAAACAAACTTTTCTTATCGATATATGTGTTAATGTTTATTTAAAAGTTAACCGTAAATAAATTGTGTTTCAAAAAAAAATGTCTTTGTATTTTTTGTAATGTGTTACATAAGCAAAGTAATTGTAATTTAATTAATTACTTTTGAAAATGAAAGTAATGGCAATGGTAATTGTAATGGGAAGAATTCCAATGTAATTGTGATTTAATGATTACATTTCAAAATTGACCCCAAGTCTGCATCTTTTTGCAATACGGATCGGTGCAACAAGGTTTTTGGATCTGTTATATACTTTGATTTTCACCGGGGAAGGAAGGGTCCAAAAGCTGAATTGTATATTTATTTTTCATTTTAAAAGCAAAATAGCCTATTTATATTTTGGAATATGATTGGGGGTGTCTTGTTGGTGTCAGAGAAGTTTATTGAATTTGAGGGCCAACTGGGGAGTTAAAATGATGTTATTGTACAAAAACCTGGTTACCTGAATACCCCGGAATTTCTCATACATTTCGTATTATCAGTAATCAACTCCTACCTCGAATGATATTAAAAGTGGCCTTTAAATGTGCAGTTAACATTTTAGAATTTTCATTTTCAATGTGGACAAATGGGAAAAATGAAGTTTTTTTTAAAAGATCAAAACAACTAGTGTTCAGAATTCCTCTTACATATTTCAAAGAAGCTCAATCATATTTTAGAGAAAAAAATCTTCATTTTATTCTTGTGACCAAATGGGGATAAATTATTTTTCTACAAAACCCGGTTTCTTTAACCCCTTTTATATTTTTCGCAGTGGTATTATCTTTTGGGAAATGATTTCAAGAAAGAATTTTTTTCTGTATAAAAAACAAAACAAACAAAAATGGTTCACTAATAGTCCTCTTACATTTTTTGATACATGTATAGCAAAATCTTTAATCATATGATTCGTTGTGTCCTAGTTTCGGAATTTCGGTTTTCACCTTTAGGATAAATCGGTATATAATTATCTGCAAAAATCTGGTTTCCTGAATGCCTTTTACATTTTTGAAGTAGTCCAGGCACATTTTGAAATATGTTTGAAATAAAATATGTTCAAATCATTTTGAAATATGATTGAAAGTGTCCTATAGATGTCTAATAATTAAGGTTTCATTCTAATGGTGATTGGGGACAAAAAGGATATTTCTACAAAAACCTTTCTTTTTGACTCCTTTATCTTTTTTATTCAAGTAGTCGTCTCATCTTTATGGAATAATGATTTTGTGCAACAAGGTTTTGGATCCGTAATATTTTTTTTTATTTTCACCTGGCCGGAGGAGGGAGGAGTCTACAAGCTAAATTGCTATTTCATTATATTTTAAGAGCAAAAAATAGCCTATTTATATTTTGTATTGTGATTGGGAGTGTCTTGTAGTCTGCATGAAGGGTTATAGGATTATGGGAACAACTAAAGTTATCCTACAGACCTTGGTTCCCCGAATATGTCTTACATTTTGTATTAGCAGTAATCAACTCTTCACTTGCGAATAATTGTTGGAGACCTGTAGGTGTGCAATTAACACTTTAGAATTTTAATTTTCAATGTGGACACATTTGGATAAAAAATGTTCAAAAATTTATGACACCCCCGACTTTTCTTTTTCAATTTTAATTGTTGCCAAGTCATATTTTAGAAAAAGTCTCGATATGTCTTAAAGATTTGTATGTAGGTTTCAGAATTTTAATTTTCACTCTGGGTTTGACTCGGAGTATTACAAATCGAATTTTTTTGTATATTGCAGAATTATGCTGACTTCTTATACTGCTACCTAAATATGAAGCTGAGTACATTTTGAAGCAAACACCTTAGTGCTGATCATCAGTATTAAATTTCTACAAAGACCTTATTTCTTGAATTCCTCGTACATTTTTCACAGTAGGCAACTCATCTTTTGGAATATGATAGGGTGTGTCCTGTAGATGTGCAATTTGATCTTGGAATTTTTAATTAATTCAAATTATTTAAAGAATTGAATTTATTCAAGTGGAAGTCAAAATATCTGGCTCCTTTAGAAAGTCCGATCCTCGGGTTCAGAAAACCAGGCATTCAAAAATTGAGAACTCTTTCTAGTATTTCTCAAAGTATTGTGCATTTACTCACGGAAATTCTTTTAAGTTCAAGTTCATCATATTATTTTGGGAAAATCAGTAAATCTCAAGTAACTTCTCAGGAAATGCGAATAAAAACACCTACTTTGCACTTTCGAATTGAAAATTTATCAAAAAATATATTTTAGGCCCCCAAAAATATATATATGTGTCCAGGTATTTAAAGAAAATTGAATGATCTTTATACATATACTTATACGATACTTCATTTACTTAAGTTATTTTATAAAGCCTGTTGAATTAAGTCTTTCCTATCATTGCAAAACACGATAAATCTCTTCTAATTTCATATCTGGCCTAACTTGGTATATTAGGCTAGATTAAAGGAATTGTGATTTCGTTCATTGTTTTAATTTTTTCTTTGGGGATACAAATGTCAACTTTTTCTTTTACATCATTAAGACTTCAAAGAACTTTGAAATCCACTGAGATGCATTAAATGAAAATCTTTGCGTGAAGAGATTTGAATTTAAAAAATCATTATGAGACTTTTTGAAATTAATAATAAATTAAAGAGTTATCCCTCCTGGTTGAGAAGCGGATAAAAACTTCTCTTACTTTTTGCACTGAAGTCCATTCATTTTTTTTTTTTTTTTTGAATACGTTGAGTGTCCGGTAGATAGGTAATAAGGTTTCAGAATATATTTTCACCCTGTGGCAATAAGGAATTTTAAAAAAAGTGTCAATCATCTACAAAAAATGATTCCATGAATCCTTTTACATTTTTGCAACAGCCAATTAAGTCATTTTTTCTCTATAAATCTGGATTCCTTAAATCCTGGTTTGGGGACTGGTGGTGTCCTGTATGTGTATTTAAAAAATAACCCGAGTACTTATTTACCATGGGGTTAAATTGGGTCAAAATGATTTTTAAATTAATTAATTTTTTTTAAAATCGCAGTTTTCCAAACCTTATTTTAACTTACATTTTTTTCAGTAGCCAAGTATTTTGGAATAAGTGTGGACGTGTACTGTAGATATACATATTATACCGGTTTTTCATCTTTGGAGCAATAATGGGCTGAAAATGAACTATATGTAAATCATGGAATTGTTTTGGCTTCTTCCCTCATAACCCATATTTTAATGAGTACATTTCGAGGCAAACAACCTGATGTGGGTATTACTATTACTGTCTTATGACAGCATTTAGTTATTTTGCATTAAGTCATGACAGACTGCCTAAAATAGTCATTTCCTACTCTGCACTGAACCTACGATAAATATCTAAAGTCAAATCTGATAAAAGGATGTATTGCAGAGTTTTCCTCTTAAAAATAAGATAAATTTTAAAAGTAATATACAAAAACAAACATTGAAGCACTGTTAAATATAAACAGAAATATTGCAATCAAATAACATTATAATTACTACAGGTCTTTTCCATTCCTTTGAGACTTTCTTTCTTGTTGCAAACGAATGTTCAGGGTCCAGTTGTTCTGATGGCTAAACCTTACTTGATTTGATAAATTACTGACAGTTCTGTCGATTTCAGATTACAAAATAAGATTGTAATTGTTAGTAATGGAAAATCATGTATCCCCATGGTTTATGACTGATTTTTATGCAATGTTTTAAAACAGAATGTAACATTCTAAAGGTGCACAAGAATTAAAATGTAAAATATTAGAGTTAATTCACAGACATCCTTACAATCAATCCTAATTATCCCTTGTAGTCGGGTAATATCCAGCTATCAGCTGTATATTCTTCTGTTAATTATGATCAAGTCATCTTGATATTAGCCGATTATATGAGTTAAATCTCCGTGTTATCCGGATATCTACTGCATAAAATATGAAGATAACTATGTCATGTAAATTTTGCATTTACCTTCCTCTAGTAAATTCAAAATTTACAACATGATATAATGCACAATTATCAAGTTCAGAGGTCAATACTAGAACAATACAGTTTGGGAGCGGAGCAAACACGCACCCCCAGAGGTATGATCAGGTGCCACGTATACATATACAATTAGTTATAGTCATTAGTTAGTTATACAGAATTTCAAAATTCAGAAGTTATCCATGAAACAGCAGCACAACATTGCCCAGCAGAAGGCCAGTAGACAGTATTCCTCGGTTGTGTCCTGGTCTTGATCCCTCCTCTGCTCGTAAACGTAGCTGGAAAAAGTAAATTGAACAAAGACAATTTGAAATTTGATCCTAAGTCTTTTGTGAATAAAAACTGAAACAAAATTTATAAAGTCTTTCGCTGTTAAAATATAAAAAATTAATAAATTATTATTGGGATAAATTTTGGTTTTCTCTATAGTTTCTTATTTTTCTGTCTCATATCATGTCAAGCATAATCAAATTCAAGAAGAGTCGGCGTAGAACGCAAACAAATGATAAAATACTGAGTATTTAGATATATCTTACACAGTTGTTGGTTGTTGTTGATAAACCCCTGCTGGGGAGTAATACGGAGCGTATCCCCCCGCTTGTGGTGGGATTTGTGGTTTTCCCGGTGGTTGCTGATGGGGAGTCCGTCCCTCTTTTTGTGGTCCCAGATAAGACCCTGCTGATAGTTGATGATGCGGAGTGTATCCCCCCGCTTGTGGTGGGGGATGTGCTCCTTCTGATAGTTGTTGATGGGGAGCATGGCCCTCTTTTGGTGGTCCGGGAGGTTGCTTGTACGGACCATACCCCCCTGTTTGTGGTCCAGTGTCTGCCCCTGCCGGTTGGGTGCCACCAATCTGCTCATAGGGAGGTGGGTTTTCTGGGTAAGATCCTGTGGGTGGCTGATAACTCATTTTAGACTCGGAATTCTGTCCTGTAATCTAAATATTGTTCTTTTTGTATTACCAGCTGCATCTGTTTGTATAGAATTCGGTCAAGTGTTGCAACTTAAGAAAATATTCTTTCATGGTAATATTAATTCTTAAAATATGGGGAATTCACAATCTAGTATAATAGAAAGCAACATTTGAATCCTCGAAGCTATCTTCAAAATATATTTACAAACTTTCAATAAAGTTCACATGGCAAATTTTACAGCTTAACAGCATATATTTGAAGACACTACGCAGCACTTACCAGTGTGGCCCCCGATTCTTTATATGAACGAGATCACTTCGTTGAAATCTGATATCATCTCACTGCGTGCATGTCTGTACTTCCCATCATTGTAAGGAACAACAAAATCTTATTTCCGCATAAAGATAAAATTAGCAGTGAATATAAGTATGTTTGATATTTTTCGATGAAGCAAACGCGCATTGTAAGCTAGTAAAGCCACCTGCCGTATGGAAGGAAGAAACAATCCACCCCATCACCGCCCAGCTTTAATAAATAAAATGTCATCTTGGCTCCAATACAAGGGTTAAAGAAGCACATGGAGGTACCCGTACTTCTGTGAAATGTTGTTTAGAATTTTTGGGATCTTCGTTGCGAGGAAAACTGAAATTTAAGGTTATGCAGGATAACCCTTTAGTTTTGCAAACTGCCCTAAACTGTAAAAGCCTAACTATATCTGTTTAAAGGGACTCCAACTTAGATCGGGTGAGCAAGCCCATGGACCCATGTAGAAAATCATTATAGAACTAAATGCTCATCACAAACAACGTCAAACATTGAATATTGGAGCTGAAACGATGATCATGTTTCGGGCATAAATTATGGTGAACTTATGTTTCAACATAGTTTTAGGTCACTCAGATGACCTATTGCTAATATTTGTTTTCTTTCGTCGTCATGCTTTATGCGTAATCATTTGAACTATAATTATAGTGAAATACATTATTTCTTTGAAAATCTTTTCCTCTGCTCATGGGTTTAAAACAAACAAACTTAATATATAGGTTTGCTGAGGAAGGGAGTCTCTTACAAAATTTTAAATTTCGTGGTTCAAGGTATTAAGAAGAAGAACTGTCTATTTAGTTATGATAAACAAAAGTCCTTCTTCCAGAATTATGGGTCAGGGGTACCGAAGATGTCTGTATATGTTGGGGGTAAGGATTATGAGAACGAATTTATGCTTTTAAATCTTCTTTGTATGTAATCAAATATTTATGATCAGCAATAGTGTCTTTTCAAAAAATCTTTGGCCCAAGGGTCAGGATTCCTGTGTGTTGGGGCACTACTGATTATTGATGATATTGCTGATTAGTTATAATGCATTTTTGTTCCTCTACTCTGCTACGGGTATTGGGTAACCAAACTAAGCAATAAGCAAAGCTAAGTGCATAGTTATAATGAGCAATTGAACGAGGCTCACTCCTCTCTGGCACCTGATCCCACCTCTGATGTTTCGCAGGTCCGTCTTTGCTCTGCTCCTATATTGTATTGTTTTATGGACTTTGAGATTGAATACTGTTCGTTATCTCCATATCCTTCTCTGTCAATAATGTACAAAGTTGTTTAAAGTGAGGAAAAGATAAATCATTAAAATCTTACAACATATGTCAGTTTAATGTAATGTTTTGAAATAATCCAACCAAGTGTTGAGACTATATGTACAGAAACTATAAAAACGATTGCAATAAAAAATTAAATTAAAAGAGCTCTTTTACGAGTTTCATCACAAAGTGTCATCATACAATAATTTTTAATTATATCTACAAGAACATTTCCTTTTCACCAGAAAAAGAATCATTTAGAAACAGAAAAAAAAATGCAAACATTAAAAATATACTTGAAATCTTATGTACAATAACAATGAACAAAATCATGATTACTAGTATATATACAATGTATGAGAAATAAAGTCATACTTCTTCTCACATAAAACACACGCGCATATATACTACAACCATATATATTCATACATTTTTTTTGTTTTCCATACATCACTTCTGTATTCGATGATTCAGTTAATTATTCAAGAAACAACAACACAATAAAGCCATACAACAAGTCAACAGAAAACAATCCTCGGCCGTCTCCTGGTCTCGTTGTTGTTGACTCTTTCCTTCATAAACATATCTGAAAAAAGAATGAAATTAAATTTACTATAACCAAATAGAAAGCACACAATTCATAGATTTAAAATTGATATCCAACCCAAAAAACAAAGGGGTCTTTGTATGGAATAAAATATCTTTCATATTGAAATTTCTACTGAAAAATAAACACCTGTTACAATGCTGTATCAACACCATATTATATATGTTATAAATGTTACATATACATAAACAGATATAATTTCGTTTTTCTCACTCACTGATACAGCAATACTGTATTGACTGATGCCATTTACGTAATTTATTTCCTTCATTGCTCGAAGAGGATCGAGTCTGTGAAGGGGTAGGGGTTAGTAAATGAAATAGAACCCCCCTCCAGGTCACAAGGGTCCCTTCTTAGTTTTTAGAAAACTAAAAATTATGTAAATTAAGAAACTTCGTCTTCGGTCACCCATTTTCGTAAGCCATGTTTTGAGTCCATAAATTAACATTTACGATGCTACCTTGAAAAAAGTATTCTATCCTGGAATAGCACAGAAATGGAATTACATTTTTTTTTTAATGAATGAACTGGGTCAACTTAAATCAATATTCTAGACCCCTAATGGAACCCAATTTACAATTCAAATCCCTGATTTACGAGACCGGATCAAATTTATTTTGTCTGATTTCAGCATTTATCATTACCAAAAATCAAGTATTAATAAATGACGAGGAATAAAAACAATCCTTTTTAAATACATGTATAAAGAATGAAATATATCTTACACTGTTGTGGGCTGTTGCTGATAAGCCCCTGCCGGGGGTTGTTGATATGGAGCGTATCCCCCCGCTGGTGGTCCGTTGTATGCCCCCGCTGGAGGTTGTTGGTACGGACCATATCCCGCCGGTTGTGGTCCAGTGTATGCCCCTGCCGGTGGGCCTCCACCATATTGCTGATAGGGAGGTGGGTTTTGCTGGTAAGATCCCGCGGGTGCCTGATAACTCATTGTGTCTTAGTCCTTTGTTCTATCCGTGTCTTCTATATATATAAACAATTAGGTCTCGTGTTACAATGACTAGGATATACTCTCATGTGTTTATTCGTCAACAAGATGCCACTTTAAAATATCCGAAAATGAAAGTTGAAAATCATATAGTTAAATTCGTGTTTAAGGTACAATTAAGACAAACATATTTTAACTTTTAAACAAATATAATTAATTTGTATAAACAATGTGTATTGGCCGTTATACTTACAGGTATGGTCATTGGTCCGTATGTAAACAACACTTGATGCAATCTAAATTTTCTAATATCATGTGACTATGCGTTAACGTATACTTCCCTCTTGTCAGCAGACGACGCAGCCATGTGATTAGATCATTTACATTTCCGCGTGTAATAGTAAATATGGGATTGTTGTTTATGTAAATTGTGTCTTGTAATTATTCTTTCTCTGATAATCCGGATTTGCGTTTGAACTTATTTTATCAGAATCTTTCAGAAAGGGGAAATAATGCACTGCAATGTACATTATATTTGCGTCCCACCAGAAACAAACAACAAATTAACGATAGGTCTACTTAAAAAAATACCAAGGAAGTGTAGTATATGTCCTTCCTTTATCAGTGGTAGTATGGGAGGGTTAATTTAGGGCACCGTGTAATTCATGGACTGGAGTCTTGGAGTGGAGTTATGGAGTGGAGTTTGGAGTGGAGTCTGGAGTCAAATTTTGGAGTCTTTTTAAAAGATTTTTTTAATACGAAAGGAAAAAAGAAATTATTCAGTATAAAAGGATGTTTTGGCATTCATCTTTTCTGTTTATGCACTTGTCATATTACTAAATGGGTTGGCAATTCATACTATTACCTAATTATTTTTTTTTAGTTTCTGACAATGATGTATGTATTAAGAACTTGCGAAAATTACATCAGTCGTGCATAGACCAAAGTGATGCTGACAAGACAACCCCCTATTCTTTCAAAATGTTTGGAAACTGTTCAGCATAATTGATAGCTATAGATATCATTGGTCTTACTGGTTGTTTTAATAAAGTACTAGTGTTATTGGATGTGTCAACAAATCTGTCAAGAGTTATTAGGTTCAGAGTTTATTGCAATTTAATAAGATAGAAAGGTAGTTTTAAAATAAGTTACGCACATGATACCACTATTATTTATTTTTACATGATTACATAAAGGTCCACTTACACCCTTACTTCTCCTTGCATTAAAAGTGACATAGCTAGTCTTGGGTCGTCATTCCCTCACCCTCAGAAACAATAAATATATTTTCATATCAGATTTCCAGTGAAACCAAAGTGTTGATTGATTTTCAGCAGTTTTTTCCTTATAAATAATTGACAATTTAATAATTGACATTTTCAGTGATTAAGCTCTGTAAGAGAACATTGGTTCAAAGAGAAAACATCACCCAGCTTCAGTGATGCTGATTACATTGTGATTGATGAGCTTTAAGTTTTGTATCTGAGTTAATTTAGATCTGATCTACAGAACAGCTTGCGTGTATTAACATCTTCGCATTCTGTAGGAGTTTATATATAAATATTACATGCATAATACAGTATCATCATAATATTACTTAATTATTAACGTTTAGGTAAAACCAGTTAAAGACCGAGTATAACTATTAACAAATTATATTCAACGGTTCCCAAACATTATGAAAAAACAAACGTTATGAAAGAACAAAGATTATGAAAGAACAAAGATTATGAAAGAACAAAGATTATCCTTTCATTATCATGTCACAACTGATGTAGTTTTCTAAAGTTTCAAATACATGCACCACTGTCAAAAACGTCAAATTTAAATTAGGTATATGGATAGCCAATCTGTTTAGTAACAAGACAGGATACAACCAAGAAGTATGCCAAAAAAATTATACTTTTTTCTTTTATGATTAATTAAAAAAAAAATTAGACTCCAAAATTAGACTCCAGACTCCACTCCAAACTCCACTCCATAACTCCACTCCAAGACTCCAGTCCATGAATTACACGGTGCCTTAATTTAGGTAGCCTGCAAAATTTCATCGTGGTGTTCTTCACAACAGAATAAGGAGAGGACGTTCTAAGTATTAAGTACTTGTGTCCAATCCTTTTGTTATAACATCTTAACAATAAAATATGTTCAAACCAACAAAATCATTGAGCTTTCATTAAACTATGTACGCGACCTGCCATAAGCTTGAAAAGATTTAGTGGACACAATGTATTCCAATAGTAATAAAAAGAATAACCAAAACCATAACAGTTTTTTTCCGTGTTTTTTTTTTAAATTAATTTTATAGTTATGTTAATAGGGAAATCAGTTTTGCTTTAATTTGCAATATTCTCAGAATGATTGAAAGTAACCTGTGCATAACATTTACTAAATAACAGACCAATTTAAGCTGACTGTATTGTTTAAGCATTTTTTTTATCATTAATGATATGTAGCATCACGTAGACAACTATGTCACCTTAAAATAATTTTTAACAATTCGAAGACTATGGGGCATAAATTATGTAGACTGTGTGCTGGAGTTAAATAAATATATGTTACATGTGGACTTGTATTTTATCATATGTGTACGTTGCGGATTATGCAAAAACTAAAAATACATGTATGACTTTTGGCGAGTGAGAGGGAATCTTCGATATTGACTTCTCAAATCTCAACGTGATTTAAAATCTTTTTTACTTGTCTGTAAAAAGGACAATTGAAAACAAATGGAGAATCCATGGGGAATAGTTATAGCTGTCTCGGCATTTTTTATTCAATTCTTAATATTTGGCATCTGCCTTTCTTTTGGTATCTATGTTATAGAACTACAAAAAGAGTTTGAGACCGGACTGTCCATAATTTCATCTACTGGATCCATACACTTTGGTTTTCAACTTTGTACAGGTATGTCTAATATCAATTGACTCTGTAAAAATGCGTTTTCTTTTCGCAACTTTGTTTTATATTTTGGCTATTTGTCCAAAAATCAAAATGGCACTAATATTCAAGAAAGATTCAAAAATAGATTTAAGTCTTCGTCTTCCAACCCTCTGAAGTCCATTTCATTACACGGAATATATATCTCAAATTCACTAGGTATTGCATGTTGCATTTAGAATGTCCTTGTTAGGATAACAACAAAAACATCTTCACGATTTCATGGTTTACAGTGCCAGACATGTTTTAAACATTTTAGTATATTTTTATTAAAGAATTTTGTTGCGGATAATATATTCATTATTTCAAATATAAAGGGATTTGTTACACTGCAAAACGTGTTTTTTTAAAGGTTTCTTTTGTTAGAAGAATACCAACTGAAAATTTTGTATACTTGGTTGTAATTTATCTTTGCTTACCAACCATCAATCTTTTACTATAGATGATTATATTCTAGGACCACTTGCCAGTTTTCTAATGCGGAAGATGTCTTTCAGAAAAGTTTGTTTACTTGGTGCCATCATGAGCAGTGTTGGTCTCTCTGTTTTACCCTTTACTCCAAATATTCCATTTCTTATTGTTTTCTTTGGTGCATTAACAGGTATATACACGTCTTTTTATCAAGTTTTTCAATTTTTTCAAGAAACTGTAAATTGTATGTTATAACAAATTTCTCAACATACTTGTTTAACTGATTATTTGAAGTATTAATTCAATATGTTACCACATTTTAGGTACCGGATATTGCTTTCTCTACATTCCTTCACACACCCTATCCGGACTCTGGTTTGAAAACAATAGAGGTCTAGTCACAGGTATCGTCACTTCCGGTTCCTCGCTAGGTGGCGTTGCGTTTCCATATCTGATTGAATTTTTAATTGGAAGATTTGGATGGAGAGGTTCTTTTTTTATTCTTGCATCGCTGAATCTTCAAACAGTCGTTTTCTCCAGTCTAATGAGAGAATCTCCATTACAAAAGACGTGGAAAAAATCTAAAACTAAGTATATAGCCAATGATCTCACCAACAGCACACAAACAATCTATACAATCCATGATGATGATGATGGAAAGAAATTTCAAAATAATGGATCAATAATTGAAAATTTTGTTACAAGCCGAAAAGCTGCAGATCAAACTAGAATCGACGAACAAGTGAAGCATATTGTAAAAGAGTCAAGAACGAGGAAACTACTTACTAACTTACCATATGTTCTATTAACGGTAAATAATTTTTTGTGGAATTTTGGTGGCTCTGTACAATTACTTCTTGGACCAGACTACTACATTCAAGTTGGTTTTGACTTAAAACAAGCAGCTTTGCTCTTATCCATACAACAAGGCACAATGGTGGTCGGTTGTGTTGTCGGTGGAATTTTGGGTAATTTTCGCAGCTTCAACAGAAACGGTTTATTTTTATTCTCAAATCTTTTATCGGGTTTCTGCATAATTGCCTATACATTTCCAGTCCTACAAACGATGGCGGGTCTTGCTATCATTAACTCTGTGTTTGGATTGAGTTCGGGGATAGGTCTCGGATTGATCGTTATCCTTGTATCGGATTTTGTCGGAAGTCAATTGATTGGGGACGGAATGGGATATCTGATGTTAGCATGTGGAATTGGAATGTTCATTGGGCCACCATTAGGAGGTTTGAACTATTTTATTGTTCATCCATAAGTAATTTATTGAGGAAAAATACGCTTTCCTCGCGATATCTCAAACAGCCTACACCTTTTGCTATGATTTTTGGATAACAATATCTTATCGCTTTAAAGGGACAAAGACAGTTTCAGCTATAAAATATTTCAAATATATTTTCCATTTTTTTTTTATTTTTACAAATATTTACTGTATTTATATTAATTTCAAATACATTTGTTTGATTTCATAAGGTTACCTGATAGAGAAGACAGACACCTATGACGTCGCCTTCTACCTGGCCGGATCTGTTACCCTGTTCAGTGGAGTCATTTTGTTGATCACTCCAATCAGACACTGTTGCCAGATGTCCAAGAAATACCTTGTTTCCTCTGTCACCTAATTTTTAAACAATCAGAATAAATATTTAAATCTTTTTGGTCGAAAAATTCATAATAACCACTCAAAAACCTTATAATAATTAGAGAGAGAGAAACCATTTCAAAATTTCCATAAATAAAACAAATAAGGGAATAAAACATGGACCTATGACAATTTCAGAAATTGGATCAGGTGCCTATGGAGAAGTTAGAATTTCCTGTTGACAGGCCATGAGTGCCGTGAGTCGTCTTTAATGAATTAGACTACGGAACATTGTTTTATAACATTAAAAGTCCTCTCTTATCAACGAGTACCAAAATTAAATTTCATTTAATTTATAAATTATTCGATGTTCAAAACAAAAAAAACATTTTGGTATTTCCTTTGCCTATGACAGCACATTCTTTAAAAATATATTTGTTTTCATCGGGAATGATTAAAAATATATAAATGTTTGATTATCAAGAAATACATTGGAAATAAAATCGAAAAACGAAAGTTTACTTTATTTTTTTTTCTTTTGGTATGTAAGCAAATATATTTAATATTTGATTCAGTCAATAAAAACGTAAGAAAACCTCCTTTTATATATTTTTATTGATAGTTACTGATTTTCATGTAGTGTATTTTAATTTAAAATTGATGCTTTGAACAGTTACTAAAGGAATTGATAATGTTTAAAAGTTATCCGAGTAATTTTGTTTTATTTTGATCCAAACAACAGGATATATTTTTTCCAAATTTATGTTTTTTTTTTTAATAAAATTTATTTATTATATAATTTTTTACGTATAATTGGGTGTGTGTTTGTGAAATTTTTTTTGAGAAAAATTATTATTATTATTATTATTATTATTATTTTATTATTTTATTATTATTTGTTTATTAGCTGCCCTTGATGATTGAAAGATCTCCATAAAGTACTGTTATCGAACATTTATATTATAATCTTTGATAGATTTTTTTTATACAATCAGTTAAAACAGTATGTATCATATATGTGAAAAGTATTTTTATGAACTAGCATCACTGTTGCATATATTGAAATTAACATTTGACATTTTAAAATTAGTTGCTACAAAAGATGCATATTATACAATATAAATACTTGCAGTATCATGAACATGAATTGAAATTTACATTTTACGGTCGGAGTTATGTAATTTAGAACACCGAGGATACTTTTAAAAAATACTTTTGATCAACAACAATCATATGATAAATCACTCTAGCTTTTGGTCGTGATTGAGACTCTAAATTCATTATATCTCAGTTTTAGATACAGGTTGAAGACATGGAGAACCCATGGGGGTAGTGATAGCCATTGCAGCGTTTCTCATTCAATTCATTACGTTGGGAATATGTCTTTCTTTTGGTATCTACGTTATAGAACTACAAAATGAGTTTGATTCGGGCTTATCAATCATTTCTTCTATCGGTTCAATACATCTTGGGTTTCAGTTGGGCTCAGGTCTGTATAAGTTTTAAAAAAGTTGTAGATTTTAAAAACAATTTTTTATCCATATTATTTAATATTTATATTTAAAGATAATACACATTATTTTAAAGTCTATGGCTATACTTTGTATCTATGCTAACAGAAATTAGATATAAAGATTGCTTTTATTTTTATGGTGCTGAAATCTATATAAATCCTGTTAATGATTGGTAATTTGCGATTTTTCAATTCGCGATAAAAAGTACTCGCGAAAAATAAGGAATCTACAGTATACTTTATATCTATGCTAACAGAAATTAAATTTCCAGGATTGGTTTTGCATTTTCAATTCGTTAAAGAAAACGTCAACATACTTTTTTTTTATTAATTCAAACTTTGATTTTGTAACAATATTAGGCCTATATATTAATTAACAAATATAAGCTTGTATTCCTTAATTACTTGTTGATAATATACGTATTAATGATTGTAACTTATACAAAAAATACTACTTACTTTAAGGCCCTTTTGCCAGTTTCCTTATGCGGAAGATGTCTTACAGAAAGGTTTGTTTATTGGGCGCCATAATGAGTAGTGTCGGGCTATCTGTGTTACCATTTACTCCAAATATACAATACCTGATAGTGTTCTTCGGAGTTGTAACTGGTAAGTTTTTTTAACTCACCTGAGCTTTTCTGATCACCTTTTGTCTGTCCGTATGTTTAGCTTTCTGTGTCCGTCTGTCTATCTATAAACTTTTCATATTATCAACTTCTTCTCAAGAACCACTGGGCCAATTTCGGCCAAACTTGGTACAATATAAATTGTGAAGGGCCTAGTCTGCTTCCAAGGGGAGATAATCAAGAAAAGACAAAAATAGGGCGGGGTCATTTAAAAATCCTCCTCTCAAGAACCACTGGGCCTGAAAAACTTCTACGGAAGCATCCTGGATAGTGTAGATGCTAACTTTTCAAATCATGACCACCGGCGGTAGGGCGGTGCCACTATAGGGAATCCAAGGTTTAAATTGAAATATATTGGAAAAATCAAGAACTACTGGGCCTGAAAAGCTGAAATTTACATGTATGTGGAAGTATCGTGGGGTAGTGTAGATTCCTAAATTTTTAAAAATTATTACCTCTGGGGTTAGGGCGTGGTTACAATAGATATTACAAGGGGGAATCTGGAAAAGAACAGCTTTGCCAAGTTACTAGGTGAGCGATGTGACCCATGGGCCTCTTTTATTTTATATCCATTTAGAGTAAGTCCAACATGACATACTAGTATCTTGTGTTTCGTTATTAATTATCAAATATTGTCATGTATCAATCAAAAAAATATTTTACTTGTATATATATCAAGTACAAACAGGGTGTTTCAGCAAACAAGTCCCAACATTGTGGTTTCTGGGAAGAAGTGTTTTTTTAACTGCTTATTGCCGAAATACTTCAACCAAAGTCTTGCTAGTCGCAATTATTAATTTTTACTCCACAATATTATTTTTGCTGCAGTAAAAATACAGTAAAACACGGACATTGCTACTCATAATGAAATATAGTTTTACGCCTGTAAAAGTATTTTACAAAGTGAAAATCATTTGCTTACTCACTGGGGTAAAATACTTTGTGGTCATTTAACTAACGATTTACTGTGTTTGATATTTTGTGTATTTATTCAATTTAGGCATTGGATTTTGTTTACTATATCTTCCCTCCCATACTTTATCTGTTCTGTGGTTTGATAAAAACAAAGGGCTGGTTACAGGAATCGTCACTTCCGGTTCCTCGCTTGGAGGTATTGTGTTTCCACACTTGATTGAATTTTCAATTGAGGTGTTCGGATGGAGAGGTTCGTTTTATATTCTAGCAGCAGTAAATTTACAAACAGTGCTCCTCTCTGCTCTAATGAGGGAATCTCTGATTCAACGGTCATGGAAAAAATTAAAAACGAAAAATATCAACCGATGACAATGTTTTCACTGAAAGCACAATTTATACAATCACTGAAATAAATGGAGGCCTGAATTATCAAAATGGGACATCTAAGCAAAATTCTTCGGGTATAGATGTTTCTAAGAAAATTACGAAAGGACAGAGAAAGAAACCGATAGAAAAGTCAAGAGCGATGAAACTAATGACTAACTTACCGTATGTTATTTACACGATAAACAATCATTTGTGGAATTTTGGTGCTTCTGGTCATCTACTTTTTGGACCAGATTATTATACAAAAGTTGGTCTTGATGTAACCCAAGCAGCATCACTCGTATCCATTGCTCAAGGCGCAATGGTAGTTGGTTCCATTATTGGTGGAATTCTGGGAAACCATCGGAAAATCAACCGATGTCTGTTGTTCATGGCAAAAAATTTTGTATCGGGCTTCTGTCTCCTCGCTTTTTCGGTACCGCTATTTCACACAATAGAAGCATCTGTCATTTTGAATTCTTTGTATGGAGTGAGTTTCGGGACATCCCTCGGATTGTTGATAATTCTTTTGTCTGACTTCCTTGGAAGTGAGCTGATTGGGTAATGTATGGGATACCTAACTCTAGTCTCCGGTGCGGGAACGTTCTTAGGACCACCTTTAGGAGGTACATGTAGTAAAACATTTTCTATACGTAGATAATTTATTTATCTTGATGTTTCCCATCTTCAATAGCCAAGGGTTTCCGATCCGATACCTACTCTACAACCCTTGGCAGATTTAGACCTATCAAACGGGAACTTTGATTGCGCCGCCTATCGCCGTAATTGAGTTAAGTCCCTTGAAGCTCTTTATTATTTGTCCAATGAAAATAGCTGTAACATACGTAGATCAATATGACGTTTGAAACAATATGGCGACCTCCATGCAATTTGATGTGGAATATATCCAAACAACTTCATACAGCTGTGGACAGTGGGCACACCTCAAAAATGGTAGAAAATATCGTTCTTCGTGGATTTTTTGTCAAGAGTTTGACACCACTTTCTACTTGTTGCCATATCAATTATTATTAATGAGCCGTGACATTTGATTTGCTTAAATTGATGCACCTAAAATGAGGAACACTGACTTATGTGGTCCTTTCAATAATTCTTGAAAACATATATAATTAAAAGAAAAAAATTCAAATTAATTAATCACTTGTTTTTTAAGCATATATCACGTCCTAACTTTCATCCCTTGTAAATATTACTCTTATTTTGCATAAAACACGAAAAGACTTAAATTCAGCCGAAAATCGTCGATAAGTACAAACCTTGCGTAGACTCGGACTTTGCAGCCAATCAGATTCGTTTACGCGAGTTCTAAAATTTTCAGCCAAATCTGCCAAGGGTTGTAGAGTAGGTATCGGATCGGAAACCCTTGGCTAACGAAGATGGATGTTACCACGAGCAATGCAAAAACATTTATACAAAATGTACCTCACTTCAGTCTGTGACGTATATTTAACTGAAATTTATGCATTGATTCTTCCACATATAATGCTAATACGTACATGCAGTGCTATAATCATTGTACACGAAGTTAAATGCAAATATGCAGCAAAAAATAAAAGCTTTCGGTCTGAGGTAATTAAATATGAAAATAGAATATGTGAA